AAAAATGCGTCATGACTTTTCTGACAACCCAATATTTACTTCCACCCAGTGCTGGCCCTGTGACTGGGGAGAGGTTTTGCATCTGTATGGGATCCACTCCTGGCTCCAACTTAAATCTTCATAACATATGCAAAGTTTGCGATAATAACCCGCTAAACTGCACCTTCCCTGATTCCAAAGAACAATGTCAAACTCAATAGAAAATTCCACTACAGGCCAAAGCAATTTACATCTTGGTTAGAAAATATAAAACTTCAGATGAAACAGACTCCGGGCAGTAGTTTCCAGCAGACTGCCCAGCAGACCCTCCCCTTACTTCAGTACATCTTCCTCCTGAATTCTTTCACAGCCTGCAAGTGGCCACAACAGCTATGCCAGAGAAGCGTCTTTCAAGTCTGACCCCTTCTCTCCATATCCACTGCTACACTATGTTTCAACAGTGCTATTGTAGCAGGCTGCTAACTGGTTTCCCTGTGTTTTAATTTCTCCTGTTCCCATCTAATCTTCAAGGACTACTTGGAGTACTCTTTCTATAACACAATATTTGGCTGCCTTAAACATACTTTAAGAAAAACCCAAATGCATTAGCAATGGACTACAGGTTCCTTCACTTTCTTGTCGGTTCTTCTCTGTGTTATCTTAGTTTCACTTCTAGTGAAACCTTCCTCTACCTCCATAAAATGTTTCTTGCCCCCACTGAAATTTCTATTGTCTGACAACTCATATAATTCCATTACACCTGTGATGTTGTGTCTACCTGAAATGCTCCCCCCACACTACCTAACATCTTCATGTGAAAAAATGCCTCATCCTGGCTCAAATGTAACTTATTTTATAAAATCATATCTCCCCTCCTCAAGCAAAGTTATGTATTTGTTTCTCTCTGTTCACCGTATCTTTTTCATACTTTCAATATATTTGGCACACTGCATTCATTCTAATGATCTATTCACATATTTGCCTCCTGTAACATTTTTGCAAAGCAAATGCAATTTTTTTAAAATGTGATGGAAATTTAAAAATGAAGAACAAATTTCTTTCCTTATAAATGTGATAAGGAAATAGTTATTTTTACCTCTGCGTTAAGCTAGAAACCATTATAAATCAAAACACAATGAAAACTACCATTCTTTACCTTAGTAATGATGTTATAATTGAGGATTGCATGGATGATCATGAACTTGGCACTCAGTAGCCAGAGCAACTACCATCATTATGTCCTAAATGTAAAAGTACAACTAGAAGCCTCCATGTGCATTTGAAATTGTAAAATCACACTCTAAGTTTTATTAAATGGGCATTAGCACACTGTTAAATTTGGCTAGACAAGGAGTCCCAGTGTAACATACAGGTGCATTCAATACATAAAATTTACAACTCTACTTAGGTCATTTATTTGAGCAATATTTATAGGTAACCTATCATAAACCTAACCTAAGTATTTAATTAAGAATTATATTCCTTTCTGCCTTAGGATTTAAAAGCTATCAGAAGATGCTTTGCATTGCTAAACTCTCTTAAACCAACACATCTCTTTTTACAGAATGTCCTTTGTCTCCACGGTTAAATTTACCAGAAGCTCAAAAGAGTACATTCATTCCAATGTTTTGGAGCAATATTCAAATTGTTGACAAGGTGTGTTCTCAATGATAATGGTTATTCATTGAGCAATTCATTTATTCAGCAAATATTTATCAAGTATCTACTGCATGCCAGGGAGTGCCCTAGGTTCTAGAGTACAACAGTACACAGAAAAGATAAAAACAAATTCCTGCCACCACGGAGCTGATACTCTAGTGGGGGAGATGTATGATAAATGAATAAATGGATATATAAAGACACAACCAAAAAAAATAAGATGGTGAGTGCAACAGAAAAAAAGTATAGCAAAGAAGTGGGTAAGGCAAGTCACAGAAGGTAGAGGGGGCATTTGGAATTTTAAATAGAAATGCCAGGGAGACCCTCACTGAGAAGGTGACATTATAGCAAAGATGGAAGTCTTTGAGGGAATCACTCACATAGACCTCTAGGGTAAAACCTTTCAACAGAGGGAAGAACAGTGTAAAGACCTGCTCTATTTGAGTTTCCTCCTAGCAATTATTATGACCTTGTATACCCCAGTGAGCTTATTTATCTTGCTTTCTGTCTCCTTCCGTCACTAGAATGAAAATTGCATAAAAGCAGAAAATTGACTCTGTTGTTTCTTTTCTTTCTTCACTGCTGCATCCCTAGCATCTAAAACAGTGCTTGGCACACAGTAGGTACATCGACACATGACAAATCTTTGTTGAATGAAGAAATGTATCTTCTCATTTTGCATAAAATAAAGTGCAATATGTGTTATTATAATATCTGATATATTGTCTATTTGATAACAACTTAAATTGTTCTCCTTTTCTTTTTCCTTTTTTTTTTTTTTTTTAAAGCTGAGCCATCCTGCTACCTGTTGGCAGCTCAGCGGCTACTCAGCTCGGGCTGGACTCGAACCGCTGTTGCTCAGAGCTCAAACTCTTGAGCGAGCTCTTAACCAACTGAGCCACTCGGCCGGCCCCTCAGATTCTCCTTTTCTTTTTGATGGATCATCTTCTTCTGCCTCACACTGAATCCATGAAGGGCCTTGGCAACCAGTCCTTGAAACCCTTCTTTTCTTCTTGGTACACTCCCTTAAGTGATCTCATCCAGTTCCGCTATCTTTGATGCCATGTATATATTCTTGACTCCCAATATATATCTTCAGCTCCAACCATTCCCCCAAACTCCTCATTAATGTATTAATCAATAATTTGCATTTTCATTTGGACAGCAAACAAACATCTCAGAATTGGGAGGTCTATAAGTAAACTCTTGATTCTTTGGAAACACAATTCTAAATAGGATCTCCTTTTCTCCGTTCCCCCACGAAACTTGGCATAATTTTGGCTACTCTTTTTTCCTACCTCACATCCAAGCCAAAAGCATGTAATGTTGCCTCGAGTTTCAAAAATATTCCAAATCTGATCACTTTCCAAGGTCTACTTCTACCACCACAGTCCAAGCCACCAACATGCTCCTAGATTACTGTAAAAGAATGTCCTCGCTGGTGTTCTGCTCTCACCCTGGGACCCCTCGAGTTCATCTCCTCACAAAAACTGAAGTAAAAATTTTAAAATATAAATAGGATCATGTCACTCCCATGCTGAAAACTCAGCAGTGACTTCCCATCTCCTTTAAAATAAAATCCAAACTGTTCACCATGGCCTTAGTCTCTCTTGACTCCTTTTTCCTTTGTTCCTGTGTTTCAGCCATGCTATGCTTCTTACTCCCGAAACAAAGCATGTTACTATCTTAGGGGAACTTTCAGTTCCTTCTGCCTGGAACGTGCCTCCATCATGAATTTTCACAGATTACTCTTTTTTTTTTAATCTGGTGATCTAGTCATTTTTTTATATTAAATTTATTGGGATCACAATGGTTAGTAAAGGGACATAGGTTTCAGGTGTCCAATTCTGGAATCCATCATCTATATATCGCATTGTGTGCTCCCCACCCAGAGTCAGTTCTCCTTCTATCACCATATATTCGACCCCCTTTTTTATTCAAGTCTCTTCTCAAATATCATCTGTGCAGAGAGGCGTTCCATGACTACCACATGTTGTAGTTACCACTCCACACCTATTCCCACACCTCAGTCACTACCTTTGTCCTACTTATTTGATTTCACAGTACCTATTAACCTTTAGACTGTACAATTTATTTATTTATTTACTCATTTATTATCTGTCTCCCCCTTTTAGAATGTCAGCTTCAAAAGGACAGTTACCTAGTCTGTTTTATTAATTTCTGTATCCCTGGCACCTGAGTCCTTGGTGTATCTACTCAGTAATATTTGCTGAAGAGCTGACTATCGTACATTCATCTCCTGAGAATAAGAAAGGTAATATAACAGGTATCTTTGAGTCAGATTCATGTTGGCAAAGCAACATTCTTGTATCAGGTACTGAGGATACAAAGACGAACCAAAGTAGTCCCCATCCTCAAATCGTTCACGGCCCAGTGAGAAGGCAAACACATAGGCACATTATGACTCACGTGGAGTCAGCTTTCAATAGTCAGGCCCTCTCTTGATTGTGCACCTTAAGGCCAGGGACTATGACTATTTTTCCTCTGCTTGCTCAGGCCCTACCAGTCAGAACACGCCAAGTATTCTAATCCAGGAAGACACAACACTGTCAGAAGGCCAGGGAAGGGGTAGTCCATGAGAAAGAAATCAGGGGAAATGAAGAAGAAGTCACAGGAGCCTCTCCCTTGAAAGGACATATAAGCTTTTGCTAGGATTAAAAGATTTCCAATGGAATTTCATACAGAAGACAAATACTAAGCAAAGGCTTGTGGAGGATAGCAATGTAAAGTATGACGAACACCAAGGGCCGGAGCCCTGGCTCGTAGACTTGTTGCTTGCTTACATTTGCTAGGCGTCACACACTTGCACTGAATTTGTACCTGAAACATGTCCGAGGTGTTGCGTTTCTGGATCCGAACTCTACCCTGGATCACGGTTCCACCATTTCTATGTTACGTGGCCAAACCAAGACCTATTTCCTCTATGTCAACCTTTCCATCCACTACTGATCGGTCTATCCATCCATCCTGTATCTAGCTACTATTTAATGTTTACTAGTGTGGTAAGGACACATGTATATAGACAGCTATTTACTAGGTCTTGGGATTCCAAGGTGAATGAGGCAGACAGTTGAATAAAATAAAGATTCTTCTTATATTCAAGGCACGCACAGTCTAAAGGAGAAAGCAGACTAATCAACAAGCAATTTCAGTTCAGTGTGTTAAGTGCTGATATGTAAACATAGGGTGTTATGGGAACAGAAAGACAGATCACCTAACCCAGTCTGGGGTTACTGTAGACTCTACAGTGTAGAGGCTTTTCAGAAGGAATATGGCTACACGTTGTAGGTTAGCCAGGGTGGAGATAAATATTTCAAGAAGTAGAAGAAATGTATACAGACCTGGAGTTGAGACAGAATGGCATATGCAGGTAATAAAAGTAGCCCACTGGAAAGAACGCCGACACTTTCTTCATTCCAGTTTTCTTCAGGTTCGTCAGAAAATCAAAAACATGGGAAAAAGAGCGAGAATTAAAAGGTAACTCTTAGACAGGTACAGTGAGCGCAACTCTGCTGCAATGCCTTGGAAGGCAATTGCTATGTTCAATTATTCAACTTTGTTTCAGTGTCTTATGAGCTATTTCCAAATGAATTCAGAGTTTGGGCTTATTCAACTTCTCAGGGCATGCTAACATGTCCTTAGCTCCAAGCAAAAAAAGTACTTAGAAAGGAGCTTACCACTTAGGTTTGAACTGAGAAGCACTAAAAGAAATTCAATTCATGTTTCTCATGTTTACTCTTAGTCAAAATGTTGTTTAATGAAAGCCATTTGATGTCTCCTGGAGATTCAGTAGGTGCCAATAAGCTTTTTAGAGAAGGCACTAATTTAGTGGGATCATGCAAGATTGAGTCAGGGATTTGTAGCTTTATTCCTGATCCTACCACTGACTCACTTGAGGACTATCTTTAACCCTTGTTCCTGTATGAGGTCAAATCTTTTTCTTACAAAAATAACAAAATTTGGAACTTCTTCAAACAGCTGCTCTGTCTATAAGGGTATAAATTATTTATTAGGAAAACTGGACATTCAAATTGTTCATAAATAGGAGAAATGACTTAGAGAATAAGAGCTAAGTTCTAATCTGGAAAATGGAGCCAGCAAAAAAGGAACTCTCCCCCAAAAAACTCCACTAGCCCTAGGAGATACACATATGAAAACCTGACAAGCTCAGATAAACATTTAGATAGTTAGTAGTTGGCATTGGAATTTCCAATTGTTTGGGCAGTTTTGACATCCAAGGGATCAAGCCATGGTCAAAAGTGCCCAAACACTGGGTTGGGTCACAGGCCAAGGCCCAATCTGGGAATCACAACAAAGGAGCAATGACCAGATAAAACTGCAGTCTTAAAGAATGAGGCAAACTTGGTAATGAGGACAGTTGGTAAGAAAAGTGATCTGGTAACAAGATGGACATACACTAATGTTCTGTAAAGAAACCAGATCCAAAGTCTATTTATCAGCGAGGAAGACTTGGAGAGCAAATTGAGAAATGAGTTATTATAACTGGGTAACGAGTTCCCCGGTCTGCTAATTTGTGAATCTGGTGCATTGAATTAGTCAGGGGTCAGGGTTTTCCAGAGAAAGAGAAACAATGGGACATCTATCGATAGATATATGCGTATATATAGAGATTGATATTGATTTTAAGGAATTGGTTCATGTGATTCTGGAGGCTTAGAAATAAATCCAAGATCTGTAGGGTAAGCCAGCAGGTTGGCAACCCTGAGTTGCAGTTTGAGTCCAATGGTAGTCTGCTAGCAGAATTCCCTCTACCTCCAGGCAGGTCAGTATTTTTCTCTAAAGGTCTTCAAATGATTGGATGAGACCCACCCATATTATGGAGGGTAATCTGCTTTACTCAAAAGTCTACTGATTTAAATGTTAGTCTCATCCAAAAACACCTTCTCAGAAACATCCAGAATAATGGTTAACTATCTGGGCACCATAGCCAAGCCAAGTTAACGCATATATTAACCATCACAGGCAGTGACATATTTTAAGGCCCTTCTAAATAAAGAGTTAACTAGACCAGGATAAAACTTTTAGAATCCCTAAGCACTGAAAAGATTATGCCTTCACCATATCTAATTTATTTAAGGAAGTACTTTACCTTTCTGTTTGATGTAGCTTTCTTGTCAATAGACATAATGGGAATCATCTTGAAAGACCCTTAAAGTGTACCACTCCCCAGCCCGACTCAATCACTAGTCTACTTTCTGTCTCTATAGATTTTTCTATTGTGGATTTCCATATGAATTTAATCATATAGTAGGTGGTCTTTTGTGACTGCATCTTTCACTTACCATGATATTTCAAGGTCCATCAAAGTTGTAGCATATATCATTATTTCATTTCTTTTTATGGCCAAATAATATTTCATTATGTGAATATGACTTTTGTTTATCCAGTTGGCTATTGATGGACATTTATTTGGGTTGTTTCCAACTTTGGCAATTATGAATAATGCTGCTGTAAACATTTGTGTACAAGTTTGTGCATCGACATGTTTTCATTTTTCTTGGGTATATTAGAATTCCTGGGTCATATGGTAACTCTGTTTAATCATTTCAGAAATTGCCAGACTGCTTTTCAAAGTTCCTGCACCATTTTACAATCCCACCTGGAGTGCATGAGGCCTGCAATTGCTCCACATCCTCACCAACATAACATCACAATACTTATTTCTTCACCATCTGCCATAATTTCCTTAGCCCATGATAGCTTTATTCCCATCCACTTCCTCTGTAGTGTTTTTGGTAAACATATTTCATATGTATTGCATTTCTACTTGTGATAGGCCCAACAATGTGGTATATCGATATTATTTTATGCAATTGCTCTTAAATTGATATGCATTTAAGAGAAGGAGAGTAATATGCATTTATGTGGTCCTTTGCAATTACATTATTATCTTTATCAATGCGCTTTGTTTTTTCATGTGAATTTGAATTGCAGTCTGGGATCATTTGTTTTCAAACTAAAGAAGTTTAGAATTACTTGTAAGGCAAGTCTGCTAGCAACATATTCTGTTTTTTCCTTTCACTTTTGATCAAGAACTGTGTTGGATATAGAGTTCTTGGTTGGCAGATTCTTGTTCCTTGAGCAGTTTTAATTATGCTATCCACTAATTGTCTGCCTACATTGTTTCTGCTGAGAATTCAGCTGCTAATCTTATTGTGGTTCCCTTGTAAGTAACATCATTTATCTCCTGGTGCTTTCAAAATTTTCTCCTTGTTTGTGACCTTTAGCATTTTTACAGTGATGTGCTGTTTGTGGTTCTCTTTGTGTTTATACTACCCTATAGTTTCTTAAGCTCCCTGCACGTGTACATTATTGTTTTTCAGTAAATTTGGGATATGTTCAGCCATCAATTCTTCTAACATTATTTCTTCTCCTTTCTCTTTCTCCTCTCTTCCTGGTACTCCCATTAAGTGTATGTTGGTATGTTTAATGATACCACACATTTCTCTTCGGGTCTGTTCATTTTTATTCATCATTTTTTCCTCCCTATTCTTTGGCTTGCATAATCTCTATTCATGATTTTTTTCTCCCTATTCTTTGGCTTGCATAATCTCTATTGATCTATCTTCATATCTGATCATTCTTCCTTCTGCCAGTTCAAATCTACTGCTGAGACTCTCTGGCGAACTTTTATTTCAGTTATTGTACTTTTTAACTGAAAATTTTCCATTGAGTCTTATTTTAAGACTTCTATCTTTATTGACATTCACTATTTTATTTGATATCTCATCATACATTCTTTTACATTTTTAATCATCCCTTACTTTATCATTAGTTCTGTAAGCATGTTTATAATGGCTGCATTCAACTTTTTTTTGTTTAATCTGACATCTGGTTACTCTCACAGGCAGCTTTCATTGCCTCCTTTTTTCCAGTGTCTGGGTCATATTTCACTGTATCTTTGCATGCCTTGTAAATTTAGTAGGAAAGTGGACATCTTAGATAATATATTATTACAATTCTAGGTACTGGGTCCCCATTCTGGGGCTTTATTTATTTGTTAGTGATGGGCTGTATTACCAGGTCTGACACTTAAGTTTGCGAACTTGTTGCAACGATGTTGCTAACCTTTTTTTGATATCAGAGGGATTATTCATTATGAATTTGTACCAAGTGGACGCACAGTGAACCAAGTTTACTATTTGGAAGTGCTGAAAAGGCTGCGTGAAAAAGTTAGATGACCTGAACTTTTTGCCAGAAATTCATGGCTCTTGCATCACGGCAATGCACCAGCTCACATGGCCCTGTCTGTGGGGGAGTTTTTAGCCAGTAAACAAATAACTATTGAAACACCCTCCCTACTCGCCTTTTCTGGCCCCCAATGACTTCTTTCTTTACCCAAAGATAAAGGAAATATTGAAAGAAAGACATTGTGATGACATTCAGGACATCAAGGGTAATATATCAGCCCTGATGGCCATTCAGAAAAAGAGCTCCAAAATTGAAGGGTGGACGAGACACTGGCATTGGTGCATAGCTTTCCAAGGGGAGAACTTCGAAGGTGACCATACTGATATTCAGCAATGAGTTATATAGTACCTTTTCTAGGATGAGTTCATGAACTTAATTGTCAGAGCTGTATTTTAGAGAGGTCTATTACTCCACACACACCCAGTGTTAAGCCTCTACTGTTGCTCATCTGGGTGGCACAGCTTTGGTTATGCCCACAGTAACCCCGTGATGACAGTCGTATAGGTAGGGCCCTCAATCACTCTTTCCCAAAAAAACACACTTAGCAGTTAAACTCCACTAATTAAAGGTGAAGATTGCTTCATTGTTCTTAACAATGCTCTGGAGCATAATTTTTTTAATTGTATATATTTAAAGTATACAACTTGACAATTTGCTGTACACATACATTGTGAAATAACCGCAATCAAGCTAATTCATAATCTTTATAATACTGAATCTATCAAAGGACAAGATACAATTTACCTCTTTTTTTTGGTAGTGCTTTTTAAACCCTCCAAACCCTGCATCTATCATACAATCACATAGATCACAGCAAAGGTTTGCCTAAATTTCTATACCTCCTACTGAAAGGAAAAATACTGAAAACATCTATTTTAGTATACAATGAGTAACAACACTGTTCTCCCCTCAAGGGTTGAACAATTACTCACTCTAACTCCTTATTTCACTGTTACTATTCTTCATGCCAATCAACACTGCTTCTGGTGACCTGTGTGCTACATTCTGTCCTCTAACTCCCTTTCCTGGTACTTAGAATTAGAAACTGGGGAACATCGTATAAGTGACTCTTGACCCAGAACAGCATGGCCCTTTCATTACCTCGTGCATTATTAAGGGTATAGCTTGAGGGAGGGAGGGGTCATAGGAGTCCACCTTTTACATTCAGAATATTAGCAAACAGAAAATTGTACCAGCAAATATTAGTTAACC